AGGGAAAACAGGTTGGTGTCTAGGCAAGGCGTTGAACTTGAGGAATCTGGGACACACAAGGGCAGGGGTCTGAACGGCCGTCACACGATAGTTCGGGTTCCCAGCAGACACATCTAGATTGAAGACAGATTTGTACATCATCAATAAAAGGCATTTAATCGGGGAGGAAACGGGGCTGTGCAGAAGACACACATGAGTGGGCGGCCCACACGGGCATAAGAAGGAAGGAGGAAGCAGTTGGGAAATGAAAATACTGCTGGTGATGACTCCAGCCAGGGGCCACCAAGCAGTGTGCTCCTGAGAGAGTCCCGATGTCTTATCTCCACAAACAGAAACTGTGGGGTCTTGGACTGGAATGTTCTGGTTTTATTTTTTGCTGGGCTTTATTCTGTTTGTCTCAATTTTTCTTTTCTGATTAAATTGCAAATAAGTGTACTCTGCTGACCTGCTCTTACTCTTGCTTAGCAAGAGGCTCCTGCAAGGGGCCAGCCTCGTGTTTACGTCTCCCTTCTCCTCTTCACCCCTGGTCTTGTGCCGAGACAGTTCACTCTATTTTATTTTTATTTATTTTTTTTTTTATTTTGTGTGCATTGGTGTTTTTAACCTGCATACATGTCTATGTGAGGGTGCCAGATCCCTTGGAAATGGAGTTACAGACAATCGCAAGCTGCCATTCGGGTACTGGGAATTGAACCTGGATTCTCTGGAAGAGCAACCAGTGCTCTTAACTGCTGAGCCATCTCTCCAGCCCCTCACTGTATTTTACGAAGGATGGGATTTCATTTAGGAAAGGGCCTGCCTCACTGCACTAAAATAAAACTCATGCCCGGTTCTCCCCTGACAGTTCCTGTATGGACTCACCTTCCCTCATGACAGGTTTAACCGATAGTCAATGGACTTTTATCAGTTTTTAGACTCCATGGTGGTTTTTTTTTAAGCAATACTATGTAATTTCAAGGCATATTAATGTAACTGATTTAACGCCAAAGCAACTGTGCAATAAGCAAAATACAAAAGGAAAGTAACGAAGGTCAACTTCCTACAGTGGCCAACACACAGAATCCGTGCATCAAAGCAATCAACCTTCACATACTTTGAGTTTCACTTTAAAGTCAACCACAAATGTCACCAACAAGGGAATGTCGATCAAAGTGAGCCTTCTTTAGAGGGAATTTCAGGGTGTTGCTAACATGGTTGGCTACCTTAAATGTCACTGATGGCTCCATCAGAGAGAGAACGCCCCAGTTCTTCTGTCTTACAAATGTACTTGGAGGGAAAGAAACAAAACAATCTACTGTTCCCTAATACATCTGGCTTAGCCCCAGAGGAAGTCCCTGCCCCCAAAGAGACTTCCACACGGGTTAAGCTTCCTTAAACAAGGCGCCACCTTTCCTTTTCAGGACAGGTCTTTTCTTGCAAGGTCTTTAGAGGCAGAAGTTCCACTGGGTTCTAATACACAGCCCTGTGAGCTCAGTTCCCTGGAAACACACACCTGCTGGGTTCTAGGTTCTCCCTTCCCAGTGACTAGGCTCACTCCACCTCACAGCCACCAAAACCGCACATACACTATCAGCATGGTGAAAAATACAGCTACTGCCGCAAGTTTGGCGTACGTGGGACGCATGTTCAGGTACTTCGCATCCTGGCAGTATTTCTTAGACAGACTGGACTCCATGGTGTTTAACGACCAGACTTGTGCACATGACGAGTTTGTGGGCTTGTGGAAAAGGCACCTGTGTAGCTGATCTTTGGGCATTCTTTCGAGGTTTATCGTGACTAATTTTAATTTTAGCCCTAATGAAAGTTCTTTAATTCTGATTAATGCTGGTTTGTTTGTTTGTTTGTTTGTTTGTTGTTTTGTCTAAAAAAAGCATGAAATGTGTCTCCTGGTCAAACACAAAGGACTAGGGTGCCTGTTTTATGTGTACGAGTGTTTTGTGTGCATATATGTCTGTGTACCACTTTCAGGCCTGATGCCTGAGGAGGCAAGAGGGGGGCATCACATCCTCTAGAAATGGAGTCACAGATGATTGTGATCCCCCTTGTGGATAATGGGAATCAAACTTGGATCCTCTGGAAGAATAGCCAATACCCTTGACCACTGAACTGTCTCTCCAGCCTCATGTGTTGTTCCGAGCACTCTGTGTGACAGATTTATTCTCCTGTCAGCTGGTGTCTGATTAAATCAATTTAGAGTTTCTTGCTGCCCCCACCCCCACTCCGAGAGCCACAGATTAACTGAGTGCATGAAAAACTTAGAGCTCAGAACAAAGTGCCAAACTGGTTGCACACATTAAAATAGTAATAAAGTATTTAAGAAGACAACCCAGGGGGCTTGACATGATCAGTAAAGCTGATCTTAGTGTGGTGAAATTTAATGCGGGGGCTTGGTGTGAAACACCCCCGGAATAGCTCAGCAGGGGGAGGGGAGGGGACGCCACATATGGATGTAAGGTATGTGACGAGTGGTCAGTGGTGGCTCAGTGGAAAGAAAGGGCAAATCCTACCCATGAGCTTCTGTGACATCTTCAGAATGTCTAAGCATTGACTAAGTGAATTCATGCATTTTTTTTTTCAATAACAGCTGTTTGCCAGTCTCCCTGCTTAAATGGTGGGAAATGCGTAAGACCAAACCGGTGCCATTGTCTCTCAGCCTGGACAGGACACGATTGCTCCAGGTAAGACAGCCCAAAACAAACACTGTGCTACAACTCAACTGTATTTCAGGGACGATAGAAGTTCAAGAAGAGCCCAAAGATATCTCTAGCTGTAGTGTAAACTTTGCTAATCACGGTATATCTAGGTATTCTCTCCAAACCTTCACTAAACCCAGAGCATGAAGAAGAAGAGATCTCAAAAATAAACTGTACTGACCGGGCGCACGCCTTTAATCCCAGCACTCGGGAGGCAGAGCCAGGTGGATCTCTGTGAGTTCGAGGCCAGCCTGGGCTACCAAGTGAGTCCCAGAAAAGGCACAAAGCTACACAGAGAAACCCTGTCTTGAAAAAAATAAAAATAAAAAATAAATAAATAAATAAACTGTACTGGGCTCCCTTCAGTGCCACATACTAAAACTGGAACAATATGGAGACTGATGTGGCCCCTGTGTGAAGGTGATGCGTATAGAACTTGTGATCCTCCTGCCTCAACCTCCCAAGGCCTGGGACAGACTTTTCCATGATTAAAGAAAAAAATTCAGGGCTGGTGAGATGGCTCGGCAGGTGGAGATGATTTCTATGAAGACTGAGGACCTGAATTTGATTCCTGGGACACATATGCTGGAGGAAGAGTATCAGTTTCTGCAAGTTGTCCTCTGACCTCCATACATGAGCTATGGCAGAGGCACACACATGTTCACACACACACATGCATGTACACTTATGCATGCATGCACGCACACATTAAATAAATACATAAACATTTAAAAGCAGTAAAAATTTACATAAATGATAAAGATAATATTCTTAAACAGAAAATAGAGAATAAATAATGAACTTAATGTATTTTATTGAAAATGTCCTAGCAAGGTAGGGTACAATGGTGTACATCTTTAATCCCAGCATTCCAGAGGCAGTGACAGGAGGATCTCTGTGAGTTCCATGCCACTCTGGTCTACAGAGCAAGTTCCAGGCCAGACAGAACTACATAGTGAAACTCTGTCTCAAAAAAATAACAAAAAGAAGGAAGGAAGGAAAGAAGAAGGGAGGGAGGGAGGGAGAGAAAGAGAGAGAGAGACACCCAGCCAATGTTTGAGCTTTTTGACTACAATATCACTATTGAAGTTGATAAGAATGTTTCCTAATACTTTAATTTTTCCACGCCCCTTCCTTCTCCCAAGGAATGACCCTCATCCTTAACAAGTATTTTTAGATATGCCTACTGGGCTAAAATTTACTGACCCCTTCTCCATGAGTAACCCAAAATGTCTCCCTACCTCAACTTCATCGTTCCTCTTGAAGCTGTTGATGTTGTTGTTTTCTTTCTTCAGGAGGAGGAGAACCGGGTTTTGACACACCCCCGCCCCCCATCGCCTCTCCCGAAGCAGGGTCATCTCCTCCTGGTAGCTCCTGGAACTCACACCAAGGAAGACCAACACGGTGCTTGGGCGTGTTTGTTTTATAAGCTTGAGGTCGACTTCTTAATTTTGTGATCTATTTTGTTATTCTTCGTGACGTCCTTTCTTACATGTTTCCATTGTTTAAATATGCTTGCATTTCCTATATAAAAGTTATATTAAACGGATGCTGCTCCACCTTCACCAGATGTACATACTCTGCTGTCTGCTGAGAAAGTCCCTGGAACACGTTTTTTGTTCAGTTACTTAAAGATGACTTTCCATTAAAATATATTTTGCTACTAAATAAGATTTTGCTGCAGAGTAGCTTTTTTCTGAGGTGGCTGGGGAACAAGAAGAGGACTCTCGAACTTCCTTCTAACCCTCTGGCATAGCACGTGAAATGCACGGAACAATTACGATAAAAGAGGCCCCTCCTTCAGTCCTGTCTTGTTTACAGTGTGTGGCTGTAAAGGGCCCCTTTCTTCAGTAAGAGGACACCTGTTGGACCCAGTGCCCTCTGCAAAAACCTGTCCTGATGTTGAGGGTGACTTGGAGGATCCTTTTCCTCACTTGGAAAGCTGTAGCCATCAACTTAGCAGTGGGGGGTGGAATGATCATGATTTATGAGTAAATATACTCTCTGAAAAATTCTCAGGCTCCTGGGTCCCCTGGAAAGAAGGAAAAAAGAAAAGAAGGGAGGGAGGGAGAGAGGGAAGGAAGGAAGGAAGGAAGGAAGGAAGGAAGGAAGGAAGGAAGGAAGGAAAGAGAAAAAGAGAAAATTACAGACGGTAGCCAGGAGACAGTCCAGCTGCCCAGTTTCCATGACTTCATCTACAGCCATCATTACACCTGTTTCAGAATAAAGACTCCCAGACTCCAGAAACTGAAGCCAAACCCTAGATTTTGTTTTAATACACTAACTATATAACTATATTGGCTCTTCTCTCTGGGAGGACTTCTCCCAGGGGGCACAGGGCACACGGTAGAACAGCAGAGATACAGGACAGGTGACAAGGGTCTTGCTGTTCCTAATGGTCTCTTCGTCATTGGCTCATTCTCTTGACATGCCCCACTTCTCGTTCTTACGTCCTTACGGGCCGCTTGTCATTCAGTTTGTCTACAGTCTGTCGGCTTCTATCCTGTGTTGATCCTTGTCATTTATAACCTTAAAAATGCAAAATACGGGTTAAAATCTATGATTAATAAAAAGAATGCCATTGATAGTAACCCTTGGTTCTCAGGGTACTGCTGATGAAACACACCCTGCCAAGCGGAGTGTGGCTTCTGTCACTTTGAATAGGTTTAAAAGTTTAGACTTTGGATTCTTTTACTTTAAATGGATTAAAAGGGTTATAAATCCAAAGTAAGCCAAATTAGATGTGTTGAGCAAGGTTTTAAGGAAGCAACCCATCATATAAGTGAGGGTTGGTTTTTTTTTTTTTCATCTTTGGGGTGGGGATGTATGATGTTTAGGGGTGTGCACGTGTGCATGCATGCACATGCACATACTGGTCTTCACCTTCCACCTTGTTTGAGATGGGGTCTCTCATGCACTGCGGCACACACCAGGCTTGCTGGACTGCAGGCTTCTAGGAATTCTATCTCTGCTTCTGATCTCGCTGTAGGAGCCCTGGAGTTGCAGACATGTGCTCCTGCACCATGCCTGGACCCCATAGTCCTCCCAGCAGAGCAGCGACTGTCTTCCGAGCAGCTGCGTCTGCTTGCAATCAGGCATCAGGGATGGACCCTCGGTAATAACCGCTCCCTTGGAGAAGGAGGTGGCGGGGCAGCTTTCTGAACCCTCCCCTGAGACAAAGCCAAGTGAAAACGTGTTTTAGGATAAGGCAGCTCACCAGGGCAGCTTTTTATCAGTGAAGGTGTGCACGTAGACAACATCCAATGTTAGGACCCCTCAAGTGTACCTACCTTTATGTTTGCAGAATTAAATATTATGCAGCCCTCAAAAATAATGCAGCACCATGGAACTTGTCAGAAGCTGAAAGCCATGGGGTGTCAGGAGGTAGGTGAGAATTAGGATACAAAATGTTCTAGACCAGGGTGTAGACAGAATGGGTGCTCATGTGCAGGAGACCCTGGATTTAATCCCAACTCTCTTCTTTCAAACTTCCTTGCCAGAAGACTTAAAAACAATCTGTTTCAAAAATAAGGAGGAAAGGCTAGGTACTGGTGGGGCACACCTTTAATCCCAGCACTCAGGAGGCAGAGCCAGGCAGACCAGCCTAGTCTACAGAGTGAGATCCAGGACAGGCACCAACACTACACAGAGAAACCCTGTCTCAAACAACTGAAAAAAAATAAAAGGAAGGAAAACACCCAACATTACAAGTCATCTATGTGCATTATATCTCAATTTAAAATGTGAGATGACTCAGAAATTTTAAAAGCATGTACTACTCTTGCAGAGAACCAAACTCAGTTCCCAATACCCACATCAGTTGGTCCCCAGATGTGCTAGTTCAGCTCCACAGAATCTGAGGCCTTTTGCAATTACATTCATAGGCGCGCGCATGCACACACACACACACACACACACACACACACACACACACACACACACTTTTTAAAAAACTGAATTTAAAAAAATGTAAAACAAGGTATGTGTGGACCCAAATATCTCTGGGTGAAGTCCCTGAGGCTTCTCCACAGAGAGAAAGTGGAACAGAGCTAGCCGTGATCTGAAGGAGAAGGAAGCAAATACAGGTGGCAGCACAGGGAAGTCTTCTATTTGCTTTTTGTAAGATATGACGGGCCCTGGCGTGTCGTCACGGTCGACAGATGAAAGTCAAGGACAGTGTCATGTGATTTAAGGTTTTAAAAGTGAGACAAACAGGATCGGGCATGTTTAGGGTAGTATGGCCATAGACTCCAAGAACACATCAAAACAATTATCCACCCATGATCAAGTAGGCTTCATCCCAGGGATGCAAGGGTGGTTCAACATACAAAAGTCTGTCAGTGTAATACACCATATAAACAAACACCATATAGAAAAAAACCACATGATCATCTCACTAGATGAAAAGGCCTTTGACAAAATCCAACACCCCTTCATGATAAAGGTCTTGGAGAGATCAGGAATACAGGGAAAATACCTAAACATAATAAAGGCAATTTACAGCAAGCCAACAGCCACAATCAAAGTAAATGGAGAGAAACTCAAAGAGATTCCACTAAAATCAGGAACAAGACAATGCTGTCCGCTCTCCCCATATTTATTCAATATAGTACTAGAAGTTCTAGCCAGAGCAATAAGACAACATAAGGAGATCAAGGGGATACAAATTAGAAAGAAAGAAATCAAGCTTTCACTATTTGCAGATGACATGACAGTATACATAAGTGACCCCAAAAATTCGACCAAGGAACTTATAGAGCTTATAAACGCCTTCAGCAATGTAGCAGGATACAAGATTAACTCAAAAAAAAAATCAGTAGCCCTCCTATATACAAATGACAAATGGGCTGAGAAAGAAATCAGAGATACATCACCCTTTACAATAGCCACAAATGATATAAAATACCTTGGGGTAACTCTAACTAAGCAAGCAAAGGACCTGAATGACAAGAACTTTAAGTCCCTGAAGAAAGAAATTGAAGAAGATGTCAGGAAATGGAAAGATCTCCCATGCTCATGGATAGGTAGGATTAACATAGTAAAAATGGCAATCTTACCAAAAGCAATCTACAGATTCAATGCAATCCCCATCAAAATCCCAACACAATTCTTCACAGACTTAGAAAGAAAAATACTCAACTTCATATGGAAAAACAAAAGACCCAGGATAGCCAAAAGAATCCTGTACAATAAAACAACCTCTGGAGTCATCACGATCCCTGACTTCAAGCTCTACTATAGAGCTACAGTAATAAAAACAGCTTGGTACTGGCATAAAAACAGACATGTGGACCAGTGGAACTGAACTGAAGACGCTGACATTAATCTGCACACCTATGAACATAAGATTTTCGAAAAGAAGCCAAAACTATACAATAGAAAAGAGAAAGCATCTTCAAATGGTGCTGGCATAACTGGATGTCAACATGTAGAAGACTGCAAATAGATCCATATCTATCGCCATGCACAAAACTTAAGCCCAAATGGATCAAAGACCTCAACATAAATCCAGTTACTCTGAACCTGATAGAAGAGAAAGTAGAAAGTAGTCTTGAATGCATTAGCACTGGAGATCACTTCCTTAGCACAGACACTGAGAGAAACAATTAATAAATGGGACCTCTTGAAACTGAGAAGCTTTTGTAGAGCAAAGGACACGGTCAATAAGACAAAACTACAGCCCACAGAATGGGAAAAGATCTTCACCAACCCCACATCTGACAGAGGGCTGATCTCCAGAATATATAAAGAACTCAAGAAATTAGACATCAAAATACCAAACAATCCAATTAAAAAAAAATGGGCTATAGAGTTAAAAGTGAGACAAATGCCAATAATAAGGGACAGCAGGGATATCCAGTTCACTCTTGAAGAGAAATAACTTCAACCCTCCTATCTGTACAATCAAGGTGATTTAGGGATGTGACTATAAAAAAAATTCTTTCGTTGTTGTTGTTGTTGTTTTTTGAGACAGGGTTTCTCTGTGTAGTCCTGGCTGTTCTGGAACTAGCTCTGTAGCCCAGGCTGGACTTGAACTCAGAGAGACCCACCTGCCTCTGCCTCCTGAGTGGTGGGATTAAAGGTGTGCAACACCACCACTGCCTGGCTATAAAGAGAATTTTAAGTGACTCTAGTCTGGAAATAGAGACAGGAAAAAAAACCACTAAAAGTAAATCTACATCCTAAATCATGGTTTTGTCTCTATATAATTGGATTTCATATTACTTCTCTTATCTCTTCTGCTTCTAAATATTGTAGATCTTTTTATGCTGATAACACAGATCATTAAAAATACATTATTACTAAAAATTAGGGTTACATGAAATTGCAGTAGCTTGCAGGGAGAGCAATTCAAAATAAATGTAAAGAATAATTAAATTAAGGCCAGTACTAAAATGTAATTCAGCTTTGAGTAGTTCAGTTTGTACCAACTATAAAGAGCCAGCTTGGTGTCTATGGACTAAAACGAAAAACCTAGAACAGACATAGGTGATAAGCTCTCACTGGTAGCTTGGGGCCTCTGAAAAATGGACCAAGACAGGGTTAGGCAAGTGAGAAGTATATTAGAGGTGGTGCTTACGAGACAATGGATAATGAGAACTGGGAGAAGCAAGGAGTTACTGACCTGTTAGTCACACGCTGTTACTATGACAAAATGTCTGAGGTAATCAGCTTAATAAAAGAAAAGGTTTGTTTTGGCCATATTTCAGTCCAAAATTGCTTGGCCCTATTTCTATGGGCATGTTACCACAGGAGATGAGGGCAGGAAGAATGTGCTAGAGAAGGCCAGTTCACTTCATGGGAAAAAAAAAGACACAGACAGGCATGGACCAGGGTCCCAAAAGTCTCTCAAAAGAACAGCTCTGGCGGCCTACTTTCCTCTCACCTCTCAAAGATTGCACCAGCTCCCATTATCACCTCCGGTGGGACCCACCTTCCGACACACAGACCACTCACTGCAGGCCTGACCCTAAGTGAGGAGAGGATGAACAACATCAAGGACGGTAACATGGGACATGACAGACAGGAATTCTTGGGGGAGTTCAGCAGGACCATCAGAGAGAAGTTGCCCCACAAAGAAGGAGAGAAGGGGTTCTAAAACTTATCCCTTGACCTTCACGCACACTGTGCAAGTGCATATGACCACACTCACAAGCATACCTCTCTCTCGTGTACAATAATAGTAAATTTAAACAATTTAATTAAGGTATTAGTTAGTCAATGTCCCTATGAAAACATTTAATTTAGACAGAAATATGAAAAAGCAATCTGGTACTAAGAGAACGAGAGAGAAAGAGGGGGGAGGGAGAGAGAGGCGGGGTAAGGGGAATAAGAGAGAGAATACTTACGGAAAATAAAGAATTAGCTACATTTTTGCCTAACAAATTGGCAGAGATTCTGGTAGTGATGGTGATGCTGCTGATGCTGGTTGTGGTGGTGGTGCTGCTGCTGGTGGTGGTGATGGTGATGGTGGTTATGATGGTAATGGTGGTTATGGTGGTGATGGTGATGGTGGTGATGGTGATGGTGGTGATGGTGGTGATGGTGATGATGGTTATGATGGTGATGGTGATGGTGGTTGTAATGGTGGTGATGGTGATGGTGGTGATGGTAGTGATGGTGGTTACGATGGTGGTGGTGGTGGTGGTGGTGGTGATGGTGGTTATGGTGGTGATTGTGATGGTGGTGATGGTGGTTATGATGGTGGTGGTGGTTGTGATGGTGATGGTGATTATGATGGTGATGATGGTGGTGATGGTGGTTATGGTGGTGATGGTAGCTATAGTGGTTATGGTGGTGATGGTGGTTATGGTGGTAATGGTGGTTATGATGGTTATGATGGTGATGGTGGTTATGATGGTGATGGTGGTTATGATGGTGATGATGGTGGTGATGATGGTGATGGTGGTTATGGTGGTGATGGTGGTTGTGGTGGTGATGGTGGTTATGGTGGTAATGGTGGTTATGATGGTTATGATGGTGATGGTAGTTATGATGGTGATAGTGGTTATGATGGCTATGGTGGTGCTGCTGCTGGCAGTGGCATTTGCCTAGTATAATGTGCAGTTGGCTGTTAGATAAGATTTCTGAGGCCTCTGTAGTGGGTGGAAACAACCTGTCCTCAGAACAGTTGGTAACCATGGAACAAAAACATTTAAAGCAGGAATTTATACTTTTAGTTCAGTAATTCTCTGACTCAGAAGAAATCCCATAAGGAAACCTAACTTTTCAGTAAATATCTGTGCACAAAAGCAATTATTACTGCATTATTACATCATTTAAAAAGGTGAGGGTTTATATAATTTAAAAACCTCTGTGGTTCATGGTTTATTTATGGGATTAAATTTTAAAAAGCCATTAAATATTTTGTAAATATATTAACAAAGATTGTTAATGACATGAAAAACCAGTATGGCATGGTATGATTTGAAAACAGAACATAAAATGTGTTTCTAGTGATTCTCAGTTCACATACAAAGTACATGGAGAGCTGCCGAATTTCACTAATAGTTATTCTCTGTAAGACAGGGGACTGTGGGTAATTTTTACATTCTAATTCAATTTTTCCCTCTATATCTGACTTATCTTCAAGGAAAATATGTCACTTTTAAAATCAGATGTGATGGGACAGGCCCACAAGTCTCTGCACAGGGTGGGAGGACCCCAAGTTTGGGGCCATCCTGTCCTAGACATCAAGTGCCAAGCCAGCCTGGACTACATAATGAGACCCTATTTCAACATCAAAAATCAAAAGCTACATCACATTTATATTTGTAAATACACTTTCCTCTTCGTGACAAGTGATGATCTCCATAAAACTCATTAAAATAAGATCCCTCCATGAATGTATATGTGCGTATAACTGGTTCATCATATTTGTAGGCAGATATCATATAAATTTAAAACCTGACTCTATTTAGTTTTGTTTAAACACACCTTCAGAAACCACTGGAGAAGAATTAAGATCATAATGGCTATTAGTTCTATATGATGTAGAAAAGCCTGGCCTGGTGGTGCACAGCTGTATACACAAGGGGAAGCTGCCTGATGAGTAAACTAAGGTGTTTATAAGTCAAGCATTAAAACCAACCCTGTCGTCTAGCCTTGTGTACTATATACTCTCCAGGTAAAGGGTTCCATAAGAGGCAGATATTTATAATATCTCAAATTCCCCAGCCATGTCCTACCATAATTCATTCTGGGGTTCCTTAGCAACCAGTGTAACAATGGGCCGTGGATGACTGCTCCTGCAGTACTCTCCTCCTGGATACTTTAAGACAGTGACACCAACCTCCTTTTCCTGTTAATGTTAGATAAGCCAATTCAAGGAAACCTCGGCCCCGTGTCTGGGTTTGTGCAAAGCCTGAATGAACAATCAGTTCTGACCATGACCATGAGAAGTAGTGAGCCAACTACCACTGGGGTTCAGGGAAGCGTAGTCCCGTGTCCTCAGCCGCCAAAGCCACTTAAAATGCATGCCTTTCGGGGCCCAACATTTCTGAATACTTCAGGTTTTTGAAGAGTGAAGCCACAGTAAATAGCTACCCACCCCACCCCACCCCCAAAAAAACAGGCTGCTGGATGTCTGACCAGTTAGAAACCGAGCACGGCAGGTCTCCTCTTGTACTCACCGAAACGTTTATCAAGTACATTTTCTCGTAAGTTCTAGGTCCTGAGCTTGTCTAATTACACACCCACTCCTCCATCGGTCATTAAGATTTCTCTTTTCATCATGTCCGCTGGATCTCTTTGCTGTCCCAGCAAGGTTCAAGGGAGGTTAATGCTTCTTTAACTCAAAGTATATCCTATCATGGCGGGTAATTGGGAGCCGAGTCAAACTAGAAAAACCTGCCAGGAGAGACTGAGGCAAGAACCGCAAAGAGGCTACCTGCAAGCATTTCCCAAGAACGCCACATTCTTCAAACTGATTCCTGTGAATGGATGACAGGGCTTGAGGGGGGGATACTCCCAAAGTCTTTCTTGACACACCTTGAAGTTTGTATTCTGCTTTGTCATTTAAACTGCATTTTTTCCCTACACCGTCATCTAAAGCTGCGAGGATTCAAAGCTCTTTGGACACCTGTCATTTTATAAGTAAGCAAATAAATCTCTGTGGGCTCTTCTTGTTCCTGCTTCCTGCTCAGCCCCTCCCCAGCCTACCTCAGCACATTCTACAATGCTCCTCTTTCACTAAGAACTCAGAAGCACAGAGGAGTCATCGTGATCAACCCCAAACCCAGGTCAGGCTCGGCTAGGCCATCTCAGCACCCTTTCCAGGGAGTGATCCTTAGCTGGGCCCTGACCTCGACAGTTTCAACCTCATGGAAGGTTTATTAGTGTGGTGGTTTGTCATTACAGCCTATGTGTGTGATGTTTGCGAAAGAAAATGTCCTAATCACAAGGCACCTCCGGTTTAGGAGAGAGTCCCACCAAATACCCCCAGGCTGTGTTTAAAGGACAGCCCAGATGTTCCTGAAGTCATAACTGCAAAACAAAGAGGCACTCATGATGAATGGCTTCCGGCCTCTGACTATGACAACGAAGACGGCCTCTCATCCGGAGGCCTTTGCACAAGGTATTTCCCTTACTGGTACCACCTCCCTCTACTCCCCGGTCCCGCTAGCTTGATCATCATGACCCCACCCTCACAATACTCTCCCTACATTGGGTCTCATGTGGGTGCATGTTTGTGTGTGCATGTACATGTAAGGGGTAGAAGACAACCTTGGAAGTGACTGACCTGTTTTTGAAACATGGTCTCTCACTGGCCTGAAACTCCCCAAGAAGACAAGGCTGACCCTTCACCAAACTGCAGGGACCCTCCGATTTCCACTTCCCCCAGCACTGAGATTACAAGCACTCACCACTATGCCTGGCTTCTTTACTGTGGGTTCTGGGGTGTAAACTCAGATCCTTCAGCTTGCAAGCCTTAACTGATTGAAGTATCTCCCCAAGAGCTAGCATCTGTTCCTGAGCTCTCAAGTACTATTGACCTTGATATACACCAAGGTCATCTAATCTAGGAGAGTCAAAGAATGAACTCTGCCCTTTTCTGTCCCAAGGTCCCTTCTAGTCAGTGATGATAATGAATAGAACAGACAAATGAACATAGGTACCCAAACATAGAATGAAAACACTGTGTGTGTGTGTGTGTGTGTGTGTGTGTGTGTGTGTGTGTGTGTGTGTGTGTGTGTGTGATATATTGAGACACTCAGGAGAATCAATAAGTTTGATATTATCACTCTCACACACACACCACAATCTATTTATCACTATTCAAACAAGTCCATGACCTTGGTGTTGACTCACTGCCCAGTTTTGTAACCAAACAGGCACCAAAACGTAGACCTAGACCCTAGGAACAGATGCCTATGGTACAGTGGTGTTTTACCCCTGTGTTATAAGAGTATCCTGCATGCTGGAATTGTGGAAGGGAAAGCAGGCACATGCTGGAACTGATGCCTCACTCTGCACAGGCTGCCAAGATGGTCGAGCTGACAAGCCTAGCGTAAACAGGGGTGGAAACAGGAAGACACGCCCCATATTGTATCCTGCTCTCATGTGCATCTCTAGAGCTCTATACTATTTTGCTATTTCTGTAGTTCCACTGAAGGCAAAACAGATGTTCACAACACGGTTGTGCTTCTCCCCTTCCAAGCAGCAGAACTGGTCTTCATGGTCTGGTCCACTGAACGTCTGTCTGACTTCATGAACCTCCTCCAGAACAGAAATGTGCACTGGCCGGGAGGCGAAGCCAACTAGATCACAGATACTCCTGAAGACTGCTTATTTATGCTTTAGATTTCAGTCATGTTAATACACCTCCAAAGATTTCAGGATCCAGAGCCACAACTAGGAGCAAAAGAGGGCATAGGACACACCAGAGCACACAGTCAGCTCTCTCCATTCCTAAGGACACACCAGAGCACACAGTCAGCTCTCTCCATTCCTAAGGACACACCAGAGC